ACAATTTAACTCTCTTCAGGCTGACTGATGCTTAATCCTCTTAGCAGGGTTGCCAAAAACCTGGGAATGGCTAGTAAACTGGAAAGCCTGCACACCTGGCTACAGAGGCAGGGCAGCCTGGGCTAGTGCAAGGTGTTGCTGCCTGTGGCAGGGGGGTGGGACTGGATGATCTTTAAGGTCCCTTCCAGCCCAGATCTTTCTGGGATTCTGAGTAACCTCCAGAAGCCACAACCTATGCTTAAGCCCATGCCTCGGTTTTCCAAGTCCTTGGAGGTTTTTCTGGAGAGGGAATGTGTTCAGGAGGAGGCTGGTCTGTGCTGGTTTGGGAATACCTGTGTGTGCCGTGGGCACACCTGAGCTCACCTGTTCTCTCTGTGCACTTGGCTTCAGATTACCAACAGATTTCTTTATTCGAAGGGGCGGTGGCTGCTGTTTATTGGCCTCCTGTGCTGAGGTTCTCTGAGCCAGCCATCTGTACCACAGCTGACTCCTGCCAGACCTGGCCCTGCTCTGGAGCGTGGTGCTTGTGGCTGCCTGGATTTGGAGCTGGCCTTGTGTAACATGTCGAGCTCCAGTGCACAGGCTCAGGAGGCTGCCAGTTGAGTTCTCTTGATGGGAAGCACTGACTGCAGTTCTGAACTCTTGGTTGCTGTTTTCTTCCATCTCTAAGTGGTGAAGGTCAGAGTTGGGGTTTTCAAGTAGCTACAGTGAGAAATGTAGGAAAAAAATAGTCCAGAAGGGAGCTGCTGAAGGGGGAACTCTGCATGTTCTGCAGTGGAACTTGTGCATACGGGAACTCTGGTTTCTGCACAATTTCTGCATGTTCTAGTAACTAAAAACTGAAGGTAGAACTCCTTTTTCCTCTTGCAGGTGAGATTTATAAATAAAATAGCTGGCTTTATGGTGAACTCACTGATAAGACTAGCAGGTGAATTTCCTTAGTGAGGAATTTCTGACTGTGAGGTCTGATTTTTCTAGTATTGATAAAACAGAGTGCTTAGTACATCTGAACTGCTACCTGGTATCCTGTTAGGCACCAGGGCATGAAAATCTGGGCCCATATTCTCAAACATATGGGAATGACTCCAACTCTGCACCTGCTCCTCAGAGTGCAGCTGCTTTACAGTATGTGCTGCTGTTGTGGTTGTGTTTCTGGTCTTGGGGGGCAGCAGGTGCTTGTTGCTCACCTTGGTGAGCACAGAGATCCCCATAGTGCTCACTAGCAGGAAGGGGAACAGGGATAGGTCATCTTAATGTAGGAAAACCTACACTTAGTAGTGGTTTGGGGATTTTTTTGAAGTGTGCTCTCTCTCCAGAGTTTCAGGTTGCACCTTCTTGTTTGCTCTTGTTCTCTGGTACCTTCAGGGAGCCAATAGGTGAATATCCCTCTGTCCAGGGGCTGCACACTCCAGATGCCAGTGGGACATGGCAGGACAAAGTCTGACTGAAACCTGCCACAGCCAGACTGAGAGCTTTCACACTGTAGAAGCAATTATTATTCCATGGCATTGCTCTTTGCACTTTATTGCTCTTACACCTAACAGTAACTAAGGATTGTTCTGATCCTTACAGAGAATAGACATTGTATGTGGGAAATATAAATGTCAAATAACTTGATGGTTTTGAAACTCTTCTGGTGTGCAAGAGCCAAAGCCTAAAGTACAGTGGTTCATTCTGGCAGGGGCAGCTGAATTAAACCATATGGCAGTTCTCTGCTTGGATTCCTGAGAGCATTATTCCTCTGATAACAGTCTGGATAAGGAACTGCAGGATCATTTGCTCATGGGTGCCCATCTTTAGCTTTAGGCAGCTCTCTGTGTGCGGAGTGCTACATGTATCGAGAGGTGGGGTACACCAGTTCCCAGTTCCTGGGATGGAACTGAGAGAAGAAAAGGCAGCCTGCCAAGGCAAGGCTTCCAGCGATCATGTGAATTCATACCCTGTTAAAATTTCCCCTAAATCATGTTCATGCTACAAAATCAGGGCAGAAGTGAGCAAAGAGAAAGCTCAGACTGAAGTCTGTAAGACAAATTCCAGGGTGCTTTTAGTTTAGAAGGGGGTACTCAGCCTCCCAGTCCATTCTTGGCCACTCACTGAAATGCTGTGTGCACATCTGTGCCTGCAGAACTGGCATGCACTGGTGCTCCTGTGGAAAATTTACCAGCTTAGCCAAAACTCCCAGTATAATTGTATCAAAATGTTTCCTTCAACACTGCCATAGCTTTGGACTCTGTCCCTGAATTCTGAACAGGGAGCACTTCTAAAATACTCCAACTAAATAGTCCTGGGGGAGACACTGTTGTGCCGGGCTCGTGTCCTGCCAGACAGCAGCCTGGAAGAGGGTGCTGGATTTGGGATGTCATCCTGGCTTTCAGGCCAGCTGGTACTTAACCTAACACAATACTAATATTTGTATTTTAGATTGGAACATGCTTGGGTTCCAGACCTTGAGAAACCAAAAGTTACCTGGGTCTTCTGTGGTTCATGAGTGAAGTGTTAACAGAGCTCAGACCTGAGCCTCCCAGCTCCCTGAAATGGGGTGGGGGCTGTGTGCCCATCTGGCACCTGGACATGGGCAGCACTGACGGGGTCAGGTGAAGGTGGAAGGAAAAGGGCCCTGGCTCTGCTGTTCCCATCTCTGCTGCTGTCCCTGTGGCTGTGACACTTGTGTGGCAGCACAGAGAGCAAGCACAGTTTTGTGTCCTGCATTATGCCACCCTCACCCTGGGCTACTCTTCCCATTCTTCCTTTGAGCTCAGCAGTTGTGACTGCTGTCCTGTGTCCATGGATCCCATGACAGGAGTGCTGGCTGTGTTACCTTGAGCAGAGCACCTGTGCTGCTCTGTGGTGCTGGAGCAGTGCCTGCCTGCTGTGAGCTCCTAGGGCAGACACATCTCCAGTCAGGAGGCTGTGCCGGCATCACTTGTGTCCCAGGGCTGGCCTGCTGGCTCTGGGAGGTGACTCACTGCTGTTACACCCTCTCCCCATGGATAAGACATTCCTGCTGCGGGGAGAAGGAGGCCCAGCTTCCACCACGCTCTAGAGCAGCTGAGTCAGATGTCTTGTCAATTAATGTAATTAGCAATTAGCTGAGGAAATACATCCTGTAACTGTCTTCGTGGTTGTGTCTGAGTGGCCAGAGTAGGAGGGGACAGTCCTGTGGTACCCAAGGGAGGTGGCAGCTCGCAGATTCTCCCAGGTGTGTTGTAGCAAAGCTGCTGACATTGCAGTTCCATGGAAATTTCCTGATGGGGATGATGCAAACTGCTGTGAGCTTGCAGTGAAATAATGCTGCAAGTGCTCTGCTGCTCCCTCCAAGCCTACTCACATCCATGTTCACACAATTAGATAACTGGCCACCCATCTGTTTACAAAGCAGTATCCAAAATAACATGTTGCTGTTCTATTTCCTCAGCTGGGCTGTGTGTCATGGTTACAGCTAAAGAATAGAATTGAGTGTCTTGCTAAAAGGGGGTTGTTGGTTTGGGTTTTTTTTATGGCTGGTTTAATGCAAAGCTGTCTTCCCCATCTCAAGCCTTGGACTTGCAGGTATGAAGCTTGTCTGCTGTCATCTCATAGGCATCCTGTGTTTGCTGCATGTCTAGGACAGGAATAGAAACACCCCTGAGAACAGGATTCGTTGTTGGTGTGATGGTGCTGCTGGAGGCACCAGCCATAGCATGTAGAGAATGGGCACTGTGGGAAGCTGCTCTGCCTCCCTGAGAGGCCACAAGAGGCTAATCCCAGAGCAGCTGGCACCTGCAGTGGGTTTGGGATGCTCCTGGAGCAGGTGGAGCCCCACCCTGCAGCAGTGTGAGGGCCCTGTGAGGCTGTGGCTGCTGGGCAGCTTTGGGCCCAGCACGTTTCTGGGGTGCACCAGCCCCCTCAGACTGGGGTCCAGCATCTGCCAGCTCCTCACCAGCTTCGTGCCATTGGAAACAAGAGAAGTCACACGTGAAAATTAAAGGCTCTTATTTGTTGTCCCACCTCTTTGTCTCCTACAGTTTACCGTTAATTTATCTTCTGAAGCATTTGCGGCTGCTTTTGGCCTTGGAAAATATGTTAGAGGATGAAGGACATTTTTTTCTCTGCTATTATATAGGAACAGAACTGAGAGCAGACTTTTTTTAGATGTAATGAGTAGGACAATTATTCCTACAGTATGAGCTCCAGGTCTCCAGTACCCTGGGCTGCAATGGGAGTTTAATCTCTGTGTTTCCAGCACTGGACTGGACTTCTCCCCACTGGATCAGTCTATTGCTGTCAGCAAGTTCACTGTGTTGATCCTGCCTGGCTGCCAGAGCCCTACGGAGGAGCTGCCTGGTGGAGTCACCCTGTTCCACTGACCTTCATCTTCAGTCAGTATTTGCTGTGTCTGTCTTGAGGCTTCTGCCATGGCCCAGATCCAGGCAACTTGACTGGGCAGCTCTTCCTCTGAAACTGGGCCTCTGCTACATAAACACCACCAGTGATTTCTTGAAAATGCTTTCCAGGAAAGTGTAGCAGTGGGGATTGGATGGGTTTGTTTCCCAATGTGGTGTCACAGACATCAGAAGTGACCCATCAGAAGTGCATAATCCCCGTACAGGTGACACTGGGACCACTGTATGTGCCGAGGGTCCGTGCCTGGATATGCTCTGCCCTTCACCCTGGAGTGACAAGGGCAGAGCAGTGGCCTTCTGTCCTTCCCAGCCATGTGCCCCTGCTGTGGCACCATGTTCTGGTGTATTTTGCCATAGTCTGAGGGAGGATTCCTTCTGGCAAACAAACCTCTTGAGCAGATAGTTGGAATCCTGCTCCTTGATCCCACCCTTGTATCCCACAGGCTCAGTGCTGCTCTGGGGCTGTGTTGGCACTCACTGTTAGGTTATTTTTGGCTGGTGGTTCTTGTTTTACAAGGCCACTTCAGGTGAAAGCACTTGCTGGACTCACCCCAAGTAGCTGACACAGTCAGTCTGTCCTGGGAGGCCACAGGAGCTGTTCTCAGCAATGTCTTTGAGCTGAACACAGCAGAGACCAAGCTGGTGACTGCCATGGATAGCCCTGTATCCAGACTGGCATTTCACTGTTCCTAGGAATTTCATCCTCCAGCTGGTCTGGGGGTTGGACAACTGGCACGACAAGGAGTGGCTGCTTGAATGCAGTAATGCATTCCAAGTCTAAAATTGTTCCCAGGCCAAGTGTGGGGAGATGGCCAAGTGGAGGAATAACTCCAGCCTTGGGCAATCTTCACAGTTTGGCTGGGATTTTCAGAGAACTGTAGAGATGGATTTTTCCTGAGAACTGATGGCACCATCTTTTCCTTGGTGTGTTTGCACTTAGTAGTCAGGTTTTAGAAAGCTTGAGCTAGTTCTCTCTGAAACCGTTTTGGCCTTGGTTGGGTGAGGAGGTGTCTGCAAGGAGCAGTTTGATTTGTTCCCTCCATCTGCCCTTGCAGGAAGAACTTGTCCTGTGTGCTTTGGAGCTGGAGCAGCTGCCCCAGCACTGGAACCTGGGCTGGGAGCAAGGGAAGGGAGGGGTATGGATTTGGGTCAAACATCACCAGCCTGCTGAACCTGGGAGTGCATTCGAGGGCTGGCACATAGCTCTTGGGCAGGGTTGGAACTCTGAAGACCTGTAGCCAAAGCCCCATCAATTCCTGTCTGAAGCATCACTTGGACTGATGTTTTCTGTTAGACTGAATCCAGCAGATCCCACATTTTTGCCATGGCCCCACTGTGCTTCTTGGTTAGGTCACTTTAAAACTGACAAAGGTGCTTCTTTGGAGCAGGGGCTTTGTATTCCTAAGAATCCCAGAGCTCCTCTTGGTGCCTGCTGTAAGTGCAGATGCCTGAGAGCACCTGGAATGTGCTGGGAGGGAGGACTGAAGATGATCAGGAAGAGGGCATATTGTAGATAGGCTTCTTTCAAGGCTGCTCATGATCTGTTTAGAGCTCCTTGGACTATGGAATAGCTGGGCTAGTGTGTTTTCCAGCAGGTTCTGGAGGCCCTTCAGGCTCTGGGAGACCAAGTGAAGACTGTTTTGTGGGAAGGTCCCCCTGCTATGCTGAAGCAAGGAGTGGCCTCTCTCAAAGACACCTCTGGTAAACTGTCTATTGCAGGAGCACCTTCAAAACAGTCTGCCTGGATCATTCTCATCACCATTCTTAAGCCACTCTAAATTAATTGTTACCTCTTCCCTATCCTGCCTTTCACCCTCTACCATCCAGTGCCAAGCCACAGGTCAGGAAAAGCCAAGATGCCTCTGCTTCACCTGCTGCTGGGTACTTGGTGTTTACAGGTGTAGTCTTGGGAGGAAGCTTTTTTGAATATCCTGCAGAATACCCTAAGATTTCTGTACTTGGTGTGGATGGTTTTGTTTTTTTAGCTGGAGTTACATAACTGCTAAGTTGAAAGGAGTGGAGGGAGAGGAGATCACTCCTTTGGAAACAGAAATAAATATAAGCAAGGTGGGAAATGAAGCCAAGAAGGCTTTTGGCACATTGCTTCCAAGGCAGTAAAATGGTCTGTTCCACAGTAAGCAAGTTCCTGAAAACAGCAGGGAATGCTCTGGTGACGTTCAGTGCTGCTGCTGGAGGCTGGGGTTTACTGATAACCCTGCTTGGAAGGCCAAGGAGTCATTGTCCCATTCTGAATTCCAGACAGTGGGACAGAAGGGAGTAGGACCCAGTGCCATAGGAACAGCGTGACTAAGCCAGTGCCTTCAGCTCTGTGGCCTAAAACTGAGTCTGCTCACTAGATGTGGTGAATAGAGCTGTGCTCTGGCCTCTCCCTTGTGTCCCTTTCCTAGTCTCAGATCCTTGGAATACCTTCATGGCAGGTTCTGCAGGCTGGAGGGGCCGGGTGTGTGGGCGAACAGGTACTGCACCCCTGAATCCAGACCTGCTACCCATACCTGTGGCTAAGTGGTGGTCTGGGCTCTGAACTTGAAAGCTTATGGGGACTCTTCGGGCCTGTGAACCAGAAATGTGGTGTTTTGGAGCCTGCAGGGAAAGCAGACCAAGCTATGAAGATGTGGTGGTGGCTGGAAGCTTTGTAGGTCACAGGTCCTGGAGCCTCAGATGTCCTTGGAGAAGGCTCTGGGTGCACGCCTGGGGTCTGTTGTGCTCTTTGATTTCAGAGCTGTGGTTGCACAGCAGCTCTTTTGTCAATGCCTGCCCGATTCCTGAAATGGAGTATTCCAGAAAGTGTCGGGTTTGCTCTGGATACCCCGTCCCTTGGGGCATCCATTGTTCAGGGAGTGCCTGTGATACTTGAAATTCTTAGGGAATCAGAGCTGGGGACTCTTGGCCTCTGGGAGAACAGTGTGAGCAGTGGCACTGGGGACACATGGCTCTGCTCTTCTGTGTGCCTCTGTCCTCAGAGAGGAAAGCTCTGTGCTCTGCAGGGTTAGTTCAGGTGGGAGCCCTCTGAGATCCAGGCAGTGAGCAGAGCTTTCCAATGCTTCCTAGCACCCTACCCAAAGGGAAAAAAAGCTTGGGATATTTGCTTAATTGCCTGCTCTGAGTCTGAGGACTTCTCTTCCTCTCCATATCAGACTAGACTGTGCTACAACAGCTGAACCACTGTCAAATTAAATGCTAATGGAGAGGGAGCAGCCTACTACAGCCTTTTCTGTATTTGTTCATGTGATTTTTTTTTTTTTTTTAATCTTATGGATAATGCCATGTTAAACAATGAAATAGAATATGGAGTAGCTTTCTCCAGCATGCAAAGCTTTCTCTGTGCCTCAGCCAACAGAAGTTTCCCAGCAATTTTGACTTTGATTCTTCAGTATTAGCATAATGTTGCCACATCTTGGTTTGTACATACTTAAGGGAGGAAATAGCTTCAATTGAATCTGGCTATTAAAACCTCTTGATGATTGTAGCTTTGAAGATGTAAATCTTGGGTGCTGGCTGCCTGACAGACACTGTCCAAGTGGAAAGAGTGTTGGCTAAAGGCTGGAATTTTTCACTGTGAGATGAATCCAGCCTTCCCATCTCCCAGGTGCAGAGACTGTTCACTGCTGTCTCCTCAGATGCTGACACATGTGCTTTCCCTGGCCCTATGGCTACAGGGTGGGGTTTGTTTTCAGCTTACAAAGAATCCCTCGTCATCTGGGTGTGGGGAGAGTTTTTCATAATGTCCTGGGAAAACCACCTCTGCTGCTCCTGGTGGCATCACTAAATGCTTGCCCTTGCCTTAAACAGTGGAATATCTCCCTGTGAGCAAAGGAGAGTAGCATCAGGTAAAATTTGGGATACAGTAACTGAAAACTATGATAAAAATCCTGATGCTGAAAAAAGTGATGGAGAAATTAATTCTTACCTTAAGGGGGGTTTGTTGGCAGTGATGGTGGCAATTTCTCAGAATTTTAGGTAGGCTATAGGATTGTTGGTTGCTTGTGTTCTTGGGGATGGAGCAATTCCCTGGGAGCCCTTTGTTTGTGCTGGGGACCTCAGCAATTGCTGCCATCAGCACAGGCCTGTTCCTGTTATCATGCTCAGTGCTGACAAGCTGCTGGCTGCCATCAGTGTTTTCAGCACCCTCTTGGCCAGCTCTTCTGTGAACAGTGTTTAGTGACACAGTTAAAATGATGTCCCCTCCACCCCACTTGCAGGACTGTCCATGAGTGGGAATGTGCCAGTAATATCTCAGCAACTGGGTAGTGTTTGCAAAACCTTCCATGGACCAGGCTGTGGGCTTGGTTGTCCCAAAGCTTTGAGTGTGATTCTGCTGTAGGGGAGCAACTCCTGTTCCTGGAGCTGTCAAAAAGTCCTGGACAGAGTGGTTCCTGCTGGGCTGGGAGGAGTCCCTGAGCTGCGAGGGAGTCGTGGGGAGCCCCACAGAGCCACAGTGCTGTTCTGCCATGCTGGACTGACACATTCACGTCTCTGAGATGGCAACACTTGGGTTATTGCACTTACTGTTGTGCTCAAGGTACATCTCACTGCCTGTGAGTGGAGAAATTGAGATGTGTCTCCTCTAACATGTGAGGCAAATGCTTGGGAATTTTGGATTTGGGGCTTCAGCAATCAGCATAGCCTAAAATAGCCCGTTGGAGCTGCTGAGCTCTGACATAGATAAGAAGAGATTTGGTTTGCCATGGTTTCCAGGCATTTCTGGCCATATGGATTTTGACTGACTGTGACTTTGAGGAGGTGTGTTGAGATTCCCTGGACTTCTGCAGTGGCAGGGAAGTGAGTTAAAAGCATCCACATATGCCATCCTCCAAGATATGTGGCAGTTCATGAAGTGAAGTGATGGTGAAGGGAGAGGATATTTCATGCAGTGCATCATTAGCTGGTGGAACTTAATTCTGTAGGAGATTCTAGAAACTGCTAGCTTGGAGAAAAACTAAAAACACTTCCCTAATTACACCAAACTTGGATGATTAATGCTAGTACCCTCGGTGCACTTAGGAGTGGTGGGTGCATGGAGGATTTGCCATCATTCCTTATGTGTCTCTTCCTAAAGCATCCCTTCCTCCCTGCAGTTTGCTGCTTTGCAGAGCAGCCAGATAACATCTCATGTGGAGGACAGATAGGGGAGCAGCCTGTGACCTGGTGGCAATGCCTAATTCCTGTCTGGTTCACGTTTGTGCCCTAAATCCATGTCTGTGCTGGATAACCCTGAGCAAACCTTGCAGAAAGGGCAGCATTAAACAGGGAGAGGGACACAGGGACTGGTCACTGGTGTGGGACAGGAATTCTGTGGTGCCCAGTTCCCTTCCCCTCTCTGCCTGTTATCCATGGTCTGGCATGTCCCATGCCTCTCTCCTAGAGACACTTGGGGCTGCAGGGCCCAAATCAGCCCAGACACAAAGCTGCAGAGTGCAGTTGGCAGAACAGACCCTGCAGTCCCAGAGCAGCAAAATCAACATTTTGGGACTTCCACAGTGAGTGTTTAAAAGCAAGGTGGGATGGGGCCTGCCTGCAATAAGTGCCATGCCTGAGAAATACTCTCTGGAATGCAAATCTCTACATATCTTCAGTTGTGTTTTTCCTCTCCTGTTGTACTAGCAGGTCCCTCTTGTCTCTGACATGCTGGCTGATGGTGTTAGAGCTGCCCTGGGCACTGTGTGGTTGTGCTGTTGCACTGGCCACCTATGTGTGGGGTCGAGTCTAGCACTTCCTTGTGCTGCTGCTGAGCTTCATTTGCCACATCTGGGTGAGATGCTGCAGAACAGATCCCCACCTCAAGAAGATGAAGTGGATGATGCTTCAGCAGCTTTCTACTCCTACAAAACCTGCCATGAGATTAGACTCATTAGATTCCACTGGTCCTTCTCCCATGGCCTCTGTTCACCATCCTGTGCTGCAGGGTGCCCTGCAGGGGTCTGGCTGGAGAAGGACTGTGTGGCCGCAGGGCTCTCAGCTCCTCTGGCAGCCCTGGCTATGCTACAGGAGCCAGGCAGGGTCTGGCAGCAGGAGGCATCACGGGTGACTCCCTTGTGCCCAGCTGGCAGGACATCCCAGGTGCTGATGGGGACTCCTGGGCAGGGTGAACACCAGGAATCAAAGATCCCCAGGCTCTGTGAGCTTGGGCTCCCATCATCTCTGCTGCTCCACCTCTTCAGTATGAAAAGCATCAGCCCTCATTAGTGAGGGTTTTTGAGGGGATAAGCACATCCTGAGTCCCAGCACTGAGCAGAGGAGCACTGAACTGACCATCCTTTTAGCCCAGCCCCTCTGGGGAAGAAGTGTGTGCCAGCACTAAATGGGCAGTGAGCTGGCAAGGCCCCCTGGCCCTGGGGATCAGGCCCCCCCACCCATCAGAGATGCAGTTCTGCTTCTCCTGGCACCGGGCTCATGGCTTCTCTCTTCCCAGTCAGTGACTTCTTGAGGCAGAATGGTTGGGCTTGGGGGCCTTGGTGGTGATTAATGAATTAACCCCTGGGGCAGGGAGAGGCAGGGAGTGCTCCTTTTGGCTGCTGCCCTGTGCTGGCTGGGTTGGACACCTGTCTGAGGCCCCAGGACAGAAGGACACTTGCTGGATGTCTGGCTGAAGCAGAGTGGAGCTGCTCACCATGGCTTCAACTCGCCTAAAAATCCCTGACAATTGCTTTGGGGAGGGTGGAGAGAAATCACAGTGTCTCCTCTAGCATGCACAGCAACCCCAGTGTCAGCTGCTGCAGCTGGGTTTGGGAGTGCCTGTGGCTGTCGTCCCTGCAGCATCTGCTGTGTCCCTGCTGACTCTGCAGCAGGCTGTGCTGAAAGAAAGGATGGTCAGATCTGTCAGGAGCCAGCAGTGTGAGGTACCCTATTTTTAATGCCCAGCATTCTTGGGGGGTGTCTTCTGTTGCTTCATGCCTCTTTTAAATTTGTGACCTTCTACAAGTGACTTTTTTTTAAAAAAAAGCAACCTGTCTTGCCTTCCCAATGTAATAGTTCTCAGTGTATCAGTGCTTATTATCATTTCTGTGCTCAGGCATTCCAAATTGGAGCATCTCCATGATGCTTAAACTTCTGATACATTGAAAAATCCAATGTCCCTCATGTAAAGATTTCACAGCCCTCAGCCTTTCCTTCTCTGGTTAAATGTTCCCTCCCGAAGTACAGGGACTGGGTCTGTGATTAGAACTGGCTGCTGGGGCTCATGCAGCCCTGAGTGTCCCTGTGCCTGCCCCAGGCATCCCTGCACAGCCAGCCTGGTGGCTGTGAGGTGACCAGGGCTGCAGCTCTCAGTAAGGATTTCTCAGTCACGGCTGATCAGAGAAAACAAATGGTTGTACAGGGCATTTTGTGCTTCGTTTCTGGATGAGAACTCTACTGTTAGTCTACAAACACACAGCTGATGTTCAGGGGAAGCCTTTGCTTTTGCATTTGCTTCTGACCACAACATTTGAGAGGTGCTCCATTGAGTTTGAGGTCCTTTTTCTGCAGATATGTCCAGTTCTTTCATTTCAGTGATATGCAGGGCAGTCCCTTTTTTCCTAACACCAAGTACTAGATGGATACATGGGTGATAAAATACTGTCCTGCCAGCAGAACCTTTGGGGTGTACTGGAGTGCTGTGGCCAGGGTGTGCTGGACCTGAACAGGAGCAAGGGGCAACAAATCTCTCACAGCTGTGGCTGTGTGCTCCCTGCACCAGCACTTGGAAGTGTCTCCAGCTGGGCAGCAAAGACCTATTGGCACAGGTCTGTTAATGCTGTGACAGCCTCTCTGGCTGTTCAAGGAGGCCTTTGAGGAGGGCTTAAAGCTAAGAACTGATTTCTTTGTGTAACAAAATGCTGATGTGCAGTCTGTGCCAAGAGGGACTTGCAGTGTGGGGCTGGATGGAGGCTGCTCCCAGAGGAGCCTCTGTGGGAGCACTGGTACTCAGGAAGGGCATCTCCCCTCTCTGCTTATCCAACGAGTGAACTGATGCTTGAGGGGGACTTAGCCACTTCCCATGGGTCAGGAAAAGTGACTGGGGTGTCACTCTGAGTGTGGGCTGCTCATCTCCTGTAGCTTCTGGTGGGAACAGCTGCAGTGGTTGGAGTGACCCTCCTGCCTTGGAGAGTGAGGGTGTGACCCCAACCTGCTGCCCCTCACCTCTCCTTGGTCCCTGCTGCGGACCCTCCTGCCCTCTGCTGTGCTCCCTGACACTGCTGGGATGCTCCTGCTTCTGCCTGAAGTCCCTGTGGGTGAGGGTGTCCCGTGGCACAGAGCCCAGGGCCTGGCTCTCTGTCCTGTATGGTGGGAGAAGTGACAAGCCTGCAGTGGTCCCCTTGTCCATTCCAGCCGTGCCCAAGCACTGCTGCTCTGCCTGAGCCAAACTGAGGCTGAAAGCTGAGGATGGGGAATGTTGAATTTCTCCTCTGAACTCCTTCAGAAGTACTCAGGGTGATTTGGGTGTCTGGGCTGGGTTTATGCAGGGCTGTCACAACAGGTGAGAGGGGGACTCTTCCCTGGTGCTGCCGCCTGGGAGGAGCTCCCGGGGAATTCTCTGTCCTCTGACTCACAAGCACAGCCTGGCTTGTGTGCGGGCTCTGTGACAAGCAGAAGCAGCTGGTGAAATGCTCATGGTGTTCCTCGGGATCATCTGAGAGTTCCAGGGCTCTGCTGGGCTGGGCACTCTGCAGGGCTCCCTGGGCACCACCATGGAGGTGGCTCATGGCTCGAGCTGTGCCCTGGGGAGCTGTTTGTGCCAGGATGCTGCTGCTGTTGGGGTCACCCTGCGGCTGAGAGTGAGGACTGGCAGGAGAGCCCATGGCCCTTCCCTGCCTCCCACAGCCCCCTCGTATGTGTCTCTTACCTTTTGTAGTGTCAAGGTGAGATTTTTAGTTTTTCAAAGATAACTGCTACTGAGATTTACAAAGGGAAAGCACTGAGGTAGGAGATATTTGTAGCATTTTCATGAACTGCCTCTCTGAACAAATGCAGTCTCTTGAGTTCACTTTCTGGGAGTTGTTTTGTTTAATCACTGTAAAACTTCTTTTAAATTTCCTCCAGCACTCTAAAGACAGTCATTCTGTCAGAGCAAGAGGTGGCATCTTCACAGGCATTTCCCATCATGTCTAGATGGAAATATATGGGAGCCATGTGACTTTTCACATGTGCAGATAGTGATAGGACAAGCAGAAATTGTTTTAAAGAGGTGAGATTTAGATTATTTGTTACGAAAAAAACATTTCTGTGAGGGTGGGGAGGCTTTTGGCACAGAGTGCCCAGAGCAGCTGGGGCTGCCTCATCCCTAGAAGTGTACAAGGCCAGGTTGGACAGGGCTTGGAGCAACCAGGTCTGGTGGTAGGTGTCGCTGCCCATGGTAGGGGTAGGAAAAAGATGAGCTTTAAGGTCCCTCCAACCCAAGCCTTTATGATTTCTGATTTGGATGATTTTTCTGTTGACTAACAAAATTTGGGTAGGTTTCTCAGCAGTGCCTCTAACTAGTGCAGGTATCTTGACCTTCAGTGTGCAAAAGGAGAAAAATCAATCTGAAGTGGTTATTGTGAACCATAAAATCAATGTGTCCGTATTGTCTTTGGTATGAATTGTCATTGGGGCTCATTTTCACTTAGACTTTCTACAAATAAAACATCCTACATTTCATTACAGCTCCAACCTTGAGCTGATGAAAATCAGAGGTCGGGTCACTTGGAATGCAACTGTTGCAGTTCCCTTTGCTATTGGAAACTGCCTCCCAAAGCAGCTCATTCCAGCCCTGTGGCAAAGTCCTGCAGCTGGAATCTCCAAGGGGATAATGCCACTGATGCCATTTGCTGCACGATTATTCTATGGCTGTTTTATTTAAAAGGCAAATGAGCTTGCCTTGTAGGAGAGATTATTTCAGAGCATTCTGCTTCATATGTGAGGAAATGAGGTCGTTCCTCCAGTCCTCCCCGTGGGGAAAGGGGGATGCATGGAACAGGACAGGGATCACAGCCAGCCCTGATGCTTGAGGGCAGGGGGACTTGCCTCCACAGCTGACTGTGGCTGGGGGCCTTTGAGGTGATTTAACAAAAATAAGGATGGTTTGAGTAGGTCTTTGAGGTTCCTGGAATGGTTTGAAATGTCGCCAGGCTGTATTGAATCAGCAGTAGCAGTGGAACACTGACACTTGAGGCCAGACACACTTGAGGGCAACTCTCAGACTTAGGAATTGCCCTCAATTTTGACCCCCAAATACCTTGGTTGTGATCCTCTGGTACTGAGCATGTACCAGCCTGGTGGGGTGGGAACAGGGACTGGATTTCATATTCTATTGTGACTCTACTTTTAGTGTTTCAAGAAGCAAACGCCTTTTGAAGGAGAGGGAGAGGATCCCAGCATGCCCAGCTGGTTTTTGAGGGTCTAGAGGACTCTCCAGTTTTAAGGCTCTGCAAACAGCTCCTCTGCTCAGGGCTGCATCCTTGGGGATTGCCCAAGCCCGGGGCCAGGTGCAAGGTGCTAATTTGGAAACATGCTGCTTTCTAAAAATAATTACAGAAGAAAGACTATAAACAAACATCCTCCTCCCCAAAATCAATCATCCACAGCATGCTGTGAATTCCAACTGCTTGCTGAAATAAGCTTTAGAAGATCCTGTGAGCAGGAAGAGCCTAGTGCTGCAAAACTGGAAGCTTAAGCATGACTTCCATGTTCTCCTGTTGTTCCACACCTTTTTGGAGCAGGGATGATGTTCCCAAGCAAACTGAGCTGATGGTCCTGCAGAGTGAGATCCTGCTCCAATGCTCACAGGAATTGTAGTTCCTCATTGCAGCACAAGCTGATTTTAAAATATAAAAGGCTGTGACCTCAACAAGTCCAGAGTAGATCCATGCCTGCTGAGCTGTAGCCCTTTGGAGGGGTAAGTCAGCAACTGGAATGGTCCTGACTGGTGGGATTGGCCTCAGAGCCAGGAGGGAATGCTGCCTGCTTCTCCTATGGAAACACTTGGGATGTTCTTGTCTTCCTCAAGATGTGTCCCCTCCTGCAGATGCAGGAAGCACTGAGCCTTAGTTCAGGGTTGTGCTGAGGGCAGACAGACTGTTCTGGGTGGGCTTGCTCTGGCTTCAGCTTTTGAAGCCCGTTCTAAGGTATGGTTTCTGAGTTTGCTGGGCAGTCAGAAGTCCTGTTTTGTGTTTCCAGAGGGCTTCAGTGGGGTTAATTTGCAATTGCACTAACTAATGCATCCCCAGTTCTTCAAAGCTCCTGATCATTTTGTGTTTGTCATTTGCAGTGTTTCTTAGAGCCTTAGACTTACTTTTTGTAGCTCAGATATACCCTTTGAGCACAGATAGAAGAACAGGGGTGGGTTTTGCTGGTCCTGGGTTTTTCCCTTCTAGCAAAGCCAGTACTGCCCTTCAGCCAAGCTGAGTGGCATCAAGGGATCCCAGGAACATGCCAAGGAGATACTGTGGTTTCCTCCTTTACCAGAGCAGCAAAAACAGTGTTCGTGCTGTCTGTTGGTAAGTGGATAATGACTTTAGGTCTGGCCTACTGACCCTGGACACCACTGATCCTCCCTAGAAGCTCTGTGCTGCTGTGCCCTCCCCTTGTTCTGGCTGGCCAGGCTGTTGGATGTCAAATAGCCATCAGTTTCCTTTCCTCAGTCCTGGCAGTCTCCACAGCACTGGGGAGCTGGGCTGAGCTCACAGTGACTGTGCCAGCCGAGCCACCAAGGGCTGTGGCCAGTCCAGCTCCAAGCAGGATGGTGTCACAGGGACTGTCGGTAGCAGGGCACCCTGGGCGCTGTCCCTGGAGAAGAACAGGGGCCACGTGGAGAGATTTAACTGAAGGAACATGTGACATGCTGTCACCTCTGCCAGTTGGGGTGGCTCTGGCTTGCCTCGGTGCAGTAACAGGAGTAACGTGTTGTTTTGGGGTGTAGGTACAGCTGGCCCAGGGTTGCCTCTGCCATGGCTCTGGTAAGCCACCCCCACACTGTCCCACTGGGATGGGCTGTGTGAGTCAGGCTGTGAGACTGGGCCAAGGAATTGCTTTTGGAGATGATGCTCCACGTCAGGCAGCTCTGGCAGGGGGACTGTGGTCACCCCTCACCCATGTGAGTCAGAGAGTGGTGGATGGTGGGATGGGTCCTGCTCTCCTGCCATCCTGCTCAGTCTGTGCAGGACTTGGTGTAGTGGCCTGAGGGAACTGGGATGCATTTGGTGCTTTCTGAGCTCCTGTGCAGATCCAGGCTAGAGGCAGCTGGGTTGGCCGCCCTGCACAGGCCTCTCATTTCTCTGCCAGCAGCACCATTATGGTGCTGCTCAGCATCTCTGGGCACAGAAATGCTGCTGGAAACACAGATCTCCTCCTCTGTAATTCCTCCCTTTTAGTTCCTCCTTTGAAGTGGAGCTTTAGCTCTTAATATGGTAAATAGTGGGATGTGTAATGCAGGCAGGTCCACATACTGTCAGTAAGGCTCATGGGGCAGCTCTGTGATTGTCCCCCAGGGATGCTCAGAACTGCAGATCTCTGGGACTAAGGAGGCTGCTGGCAAGGTCTGGGGTGTATTGTGGGGTGCAGGGGAAAAGCAGTTTGGGATTGAACAGGACTTAATGGGAGGAACCAAGTCTGGTGACTTGGGGAGGACCAAGAGTAAAGGGATAAGGGGGATAAAGGGGGTCAGTTGTGTGTAGGAAGGTGGCTGGTCAGTGTGTTTGGCCATGCCCTGCCCAGTGCAGTCTGTCCTGGCAGCTATGGCCTCAGGGCTTTGTATATCCTGAGCAGACCGAGAGCCTAAATCTTGGCTGCTGCAGCATCCATGTGGATTTTTCTGGTATTTTATATGTATTTTCACTGGTGGACTTCCATCCTGTCCAGCCAGAGACAGGAGCAGGTTGGGGCTGTGGCTGCTGTCCTGGTTCAGGTGGCCAGCTACGTATCTGTCCCTATGGGTGGGATATGTGTGTTCTGTGACTGCTGGGCACACATTTCCAGCCTTGCTGCCACTTGAATCTGGGGCCATGGAGTAGCAGCCTCACCACTTTTGGGCTGTTGCATCCAGACAATGTCTTTTCCTCTGGTGTGGAGCAGCTGGGCTTGTCAGGGGCTTCAAATGTGTGTTCCTGCCATCAACATCTAACAAATTTTATGGCTTCTTTCCATTTTTATAGGAAAAACCATCACCCTGATCCAGACATTGAAACTTGTCAACTGATGGGACAAAGAGCTGAGACACTTGGCTGTACTAGGACACTAAAACATAGGGTTTAGTCAAAGAATATTTCCTCACTGTGGAGGCTTACACCTGCCAAACCCTGTAGTATTCTTGGGAGGCTTTTCTATCCCTCTTCTCAATTTCCAGATTTCCACGCATCATGGTATTCCTTTTGACTTCTTTTGCAAGCTAGCTCTGGCTCTGCCTTTGCTTCCCCTATGCTTTGGTGTGGGTCCCCAGCGTGAGCTGCTGCCTGTGGGCTGGTTCTGCACCTCTGCCTCCAGCTGCTGCTTGGAGGCTCCTCTTGGATGTCGTGACTGACCTGCTTTTTCTCTCTCTTCCACTGTATCTCTTTCCCTCCAACCTGTCTGGTGCGTTCTCCGTTCTCCCCCCTCCATCCCTGCAGGTTCATCATGCCTAGTGGCATATAAAAAGACTCCACCTCCCGTCCCACCTCGGACCACGTCCAAGCCGTTCATCTCTGTCACTGTGCAGAGCAGCACTGAGTCGGCGCAGGACACCTACCTGGACAGCCAGGACCACAAGAGTGAGGTCACCAGCCAGTCAGGGCTCAGCAATTCCTCAGACAGCTTGGACAGCACCAGGACACCCAGCGTGACCAGGGGCAGCGTCGTGACTGCAGCCAGAGACACTCCAGAGTTACCTCAGAAAAATGCAACTTTGAAAAGTGACAAAGGGACTCTAACTAACGAAGAGCCTAAAGTGGAGAATATCCCCAAAAGAAAGCTATCATCAATAGGAATACAAGTATGGAATAGTTTGTTCTCCTTTGTCCCAAGGAATGTCCTTGCCCCATCCATTTAGCGTGTGCCTTTTCTGTGACCAGGTGTGCATCTGAGCTCACTTAGAATAGCAGGAGACATTCACTGCCTTGTCAGAATAACTGCCTGTGTTCCCAGTGTGAGGGACTTTCCCTTAACAGCCCAGAAAGGACTAAGCTCATTTAGTACAAATTTAAAATGTTTTCTGGAGCAGAGGGGCCATATTAACTGGATGAAACCCTCTGAAGAGGCCCTTTTGCTGCTGGTCTGCCTGTGCCCTGTACTCTGTATTGCTTCCCATAAGTCTGCTCTTTGTCCATCATGATTCTAGGGACAATTCTCTCCTGAGGGGTGGGCCGTTCTGCTGGATGTCCATGTAGGAAGGGCTGCTGCAGTGCCAAATGGTCCCAGGCCTGCAGGCAGGAGGGAGCAATTCCTTGCTGCCCAGCGTTCCCAGCAGGTTAGTGCTTCCCTTGCTGGAAGTATTTAACTGTGGGAATCAATGGAAATGAGCTGTTGATAACACAGTGAAATGAGAACCGAGTGAGTATTGTAAATGCGTGCTTCAGTCAGCAAAATGCATCCTCTGGGGCTGTGCCCTCCTCTGGGGCAGGTTTCTCAGTTACAGGTGGCTGTGAGCTCTGTTTCTGTCCCAGGTGCTGGTTACCAGCAGAGGGGAACTTGGCCAGCTCCAAGTGCAGGATCTGAGCTTTGAACTGCTCTGTGTGTGCTGAACGAGTTCTCCATCAGCTTTACTGCAAGGCCAGCTCAGTACAGGTGACAGTGAAGGCCTCTCTGCAAGGCTGGTGGGACAGAACACCTGAAAGGGCAGCGAGGGGACAGAAACACTCTGGAGAGGCTGCCTTCCTCTGCTTTTCCTTTTCTGAGCTGGTTCCTAAGTCACCTGGATATTTTTCCTAAAACCTTCTAACCCTCTTATCCAGAGCCATGCAGGGTATCAATCCCTGGGAGAGAGGCTTTGCTGTCACTGTCAGTCACCTCGCTGTCCTCCCTTGAATGCCGTAGTCCCTGACTGTATGGGATGCCACAGGCACAGGGACACAGCCCCAGCCACGCAGAGCCCAGGGCTCCTGGCACAAGTGGTGGCAGCAGCCTGGCAGGACACAGCCCTGCTCCTGAGGTGGGAGCAGAGCTGAGCAGTAGCCTCGTGCCTGTCCTTAGCCAGCCCTCCCGTGTGGTGTCAACATGCTCTGTGTGTGCACACTCCTGGTCTACTAACGTGGATTCCAGCCCCAAGTTCTTGTGTCTGTTTTTGTCTGTATTTTTTTTTGTTCAATAAGGTTGACTGCCTTCAGCCAGTGGCAAAAGAGGAGCCTCCTCCACCAGCCACCAAATTCCAGTCCATCGGGGTACAGGTAGAGGACGAGTGGCGGTAAGTGAGACGCAACTTGTGCAGTTTCCTTTTATTTTAAATTGTGCCTCCCCCACTTGTGCTTAGACCTTCTTCCCTGCTTTGTGCCGGTGAGTGGTGTTGAATGGGGCCCACGGAGAGCTCTTCCTCCACAGTGCACACCTGCTGCAAAAAGCACTTGTTCTCTAACAGCCAGAACAATGGGAGCTTGAAATTAAATAAAAAATTTAAAAATTCCAAGCCATAATTATAGACATGCGTCAGCCCTCTCGTCTGAACGGCCGATTGCAGTAAGCAGGCAACCTTATAATTCTGTCTGTCTGAGTGTGTGGTGTGTCTGTGTGTGAGGAGGGGCAGGGAGAGGCTCTGCTGTGGCCATGGATTTTGCTGTCAGCCAGGCTGAGCTCTGCTTTTGAACGATGACTTTTGATCCCTGCAGAAACAGCCACTCTCGCAGCATGTCCTCCAAACAGGACACAGACTCTGACACGCAGGAGCCCAATAACTCCAGCTGTAAATCATCTGAGAGAAGCCTCGCTGAGTGCCCCCAGCACAACAACTCTGTTGGTGTTGATGCCTCCACCAGGCAACCAGCCAAGCCCTCACAGATTAAGAGAAACCTCTCCTATGGAGAAAACAACGACCCGGCCCTGGAGCCTTCCTCTCTCCCTCCTCCTGACCCCTGGCTTGAGAGCTCCTCCACGTCGCCGTCGGAGCCGGCGCAGCCGGGGCCCTGCCGCCGGGACGGCTTCTGGTTCCTGAAGCTGCTGCAGGCAGAGACCGAGCGCCTGGAGGGCTGGTGCCGCCAGATGGACCAGGAGACCAAAGAGAACAATCTCTCTGAGGAAGGTGGGTGTGGGCAGCAGCTCCTCCTTCAAGTATTGCGTATTGGGTCAGGTAAATTGTGGCTGCCCCATCCCTGGAAATGTCCAAGGCCAGCTTGGAGTCTGGTCTAGTGAAAGGTGTCCCTGCCCATGGAATGAGATGAGCTCTAAGGTCCCTTCCCTCCCAAACTATTCTGGGGTTCTGTGAAATTGCTGACAGCCCACAGAGCCAGAGCATGGAGATGAGGATGGGATAAGGAATGCTTTGTCCTTGGTAAGGGTAATGTAGCTTCCTGTAGCAAATGGAGTACAATGTAATGCTGTGATGCAGCATAAAAGATGTACAGGGGATGGTGTGGCTTCTGACCACTCAAAAGTGCTAAAAGCTTAAATGGATTTAACCTTAAAAAAGGTTAAATGGAAAAAGCTTTCAGGGAGGCTGTGGGATCTCTCCCTGCCTCACCCATTACTCTCAAAGAGGCAGGGGAAAGCTTAGCTGGTAGTGGGGCAAAAGGAATAAAACTTCAGAGATTGTTTGCTCAGTTTAGTTGATGAACTTGTCTTTACAGCAAAGAGGAGGAGGTTTCTTCACATGGGAAAGCCTCACTGAATTTGTGGTGGGTACAGCAAAAGCATGGAATAGGGATCATGAGGCCTGGTGATTTTATGGGGTTCAGTCCCAGCTGGGCTTGTTCCTCTGTTTTCAAATGCCTTGGCAATACCTGGGCTTTTTGTGGGAATCATGCCTCTGGTGCATACAGAGTGGGTGACCAGGCTGCAAAGGGCAAGATCTTTGTGTGGAAGCTGGTTTTGATGTTTTTAAAACCTGAGAAAGGTGAAACAAAGGTGAGGCTCAGTTTTAGCTCACTGTCACTGCTGGGGCTCCAGGAGCTAATCTCTAATCGGATTCCCAGAGGTGCTGCCCTGGCTGCCAGGGGGACAG